TGCTATCAACTTGACCTTTCCAGGCTCTGAAGAAGGCGAAATTCGCCGAAACGTCAGCTTAATCGTGAACAAAGTATAGTGACACCTCGCGTTTGCTCAACAAAAATACGAAGAACATCCTTCTTTATTTCACATGACGAAAGGTGGACTTGGCAATCGAAAAGATCCGAGTAGTAATCGTGAATGATTTTCTCCATTGCCTTTCTGGACGCTGTAACTGTTCCTTCTGGGCGCCGGAGAGCAATCGTTTTGGTCTTGCAATTGGCGAACTTCGGTGGGCTTTGCGAATGCTTTTCCCAGCCTCTGCAGTTTCGGCCATTACTGCTGCTCTGCTCTCTTTAAGATCTTCTTTTATCGCCTGTCTGCATTGTTTTGCAAGCTCGGACGTCAGATCGCGGTTGCCTGCAACTCGTAAGATTCCGCACTGGCGTATCAACTGGAGTTTTCTGGAGACAAACGTCTCTTGGTGACTTTCGAACTCTAAGCTTCCATAGCGCTAACGTGGAGATGTTGAACGAGCCGGTAGTATACCTCCTCGATGTTATCGACAACGGCATCTTCCCAACGACCCACTAATGAATTGAATAAATCCCAGTTTGCGGTGGTTCTGGGACTTCGGTTTTGGAATTTAGCAGCTTTTTCTCCTTTCTGCGAGAAATAGAATCTTGCACGAAGGAGACCGTGGTCTGGTCCCGTGTAGAATTTTGGGACAACAGCGACATTGGTTAGGCAAAACCTTCTATTTACTATGATGTGGTCTACTTCGTTATGGTACTCTCAACTGGGAGACTCCCACGTCCAGCGCTGAGAGTTGAGGTATATTGAGTATGGCAGGGTATATTGCGAAATATAATTTGAATGATGCTGAGATATTTGCAAAACTCCGGATCGCAGGTGTATACGATCCCGCTGACGGGTGATTGCTGTGGCAAAGATCGATAGAACTAGCTGAGAGACAGGCGAAATGTAGAGCCCACATGGTGTGGTGGTGAACGCGTTACTCCCCGGACAGGACAAGAGCGCGTTCGTTCCCCACCGCATACAACTGCGGTCCGGAATTTTGCAAATATCTCAGCATCATTGAAGATGAAAATTAAAACTATTGTTTTAACTGAGTGGTAAGAGGCTTCTCTCCTTGATCGGATTTACAATCACTCAACTAACCACACGTCGCTTTCTTTGTTTTTCACTAAACCATAATTGTTTTTATTTTTAGGTATGTTCATGTGTGACGAACGGCTGTAACTTTCGTGTTGAACCAAACAGCTCACTTCAACGAGAAATTCAACAAATGCTTCTGATCGTCTTCATTTTGCTACTTTCCACTGACTAAACTTAAATCTTCGCGTGAATTTCCTCTCTAACTCAAATTTTGATTCGTATTGATTGAAGTGGAGAAGGCTCTTTCTACATTTTACGAGAAATCGATCTTTGAGGTGATGTTCTGAACTTGTTTTTCCTCAAAGCATTTCATTGCCTTAGCTAGTGTTTTATGAAGTTGACGTGATGTTCAATGGAACTATGTTATGATATATTTATAATAGATCAGTAAAAAGTTTTTTTAAGTTTTTAATAAGTGAGTATGGGGCGGATAGCACGGTAGTAGTGGTATGCATCACCGCGAGCAAGGCTCGATTCCACTCCGAGCCAACCAAGCCTCTCATCCGTTCGGGGTCGGGAAATGGTACTGGACTCGTCTGGGAAAAATCACTGTCTACAATCCTGCAATTTGATCTGTGGTCAGACTGGTCTGCTTGAGCCTGAAACGGCTTAATGCAGACATCAGTTTCTTAATGTTTTTTCTTTCATTTACTCTTAATAGGTTTCCAGATTCAAAGTGAACAGCCTTGCTCTCCCAGCCACGAATGGACCAGTGAAAGACCCCTAGTAATTTAACTCTTTTTTAAATTCGTAAAAGTCGACTATCACTTGACTTAGAAGCTTCAAGGCAGCAACGATCCTCCATATTAATGGAAGATGGAAGGATATAATGGAAGAGAAAAGTTAAGACTCCCTAACCATCTGTTCGTAATACGTAATAGTATGAAACGTAGTTTAGCGTGTACTTGCGATATTTCTGTTTCAAACAAAGTGAAATGTAAAATGGCATCATATTATGTTAGGAACATGTCTGAAGTAGCAATCAGAAAACTCGTCTTGTCTCCCTCATAAAATTCGCCGTTAACAGTTCATCCGTTAGAAAGCACCTTAAGTATTTCTTCAAGAAAACATAGACCAATCACAAGAAGGAAATCTGTAAACCTCATTACTGCATATAATGAGTAAAACTCGTCTACCTTATGGGTGAAAATCGGATTAAAAAGTACTATTTTTATTGTAGTGTACTAATAAACAACATCTGCCGACCTATAAGGAGTGGTTCTTTTTCGAAAAACCTCCACTGTTAATGAAACTTTCAAAACTTCTGTATTTATTAACGAAAGACGAAGTTTAACACTACATCTGTGTCTGCATATCTCTGTGGGTCCATTGAGTCTGCATGCTGAATCGATACGATTTGGATCAGTCTGACATCGGATCTTTTTATATTCCAATCACTTAGAGACCGTTGACGTTGACAATGTGCTTGAGCGCTTCAGCAACACCGGCACGAGCTGGACGTATAGTGGGATACATTGCCTCCAGTTTTTCTGTGCTCAGACGACAATGAGATCTGCTTTTGAAGAGCTCTGAGTCCGGCTAAAAGTAAGAACACAGGTCGCCGGCTAAAGAAACGAAATGTAAACCATTACAGGAGACTCTGATTCTCTGAATTTCAATTCAAACAGCGTTGCGTTGTAAATTTGACTTGCGATAGCTTTGTTGCAAAGACTAGGAAGTTATTCATAGTCCAAAAATTGCAAATGGCACGAGATTTTTGGCTAAGATAAATTATAAATTACGTCATTGTGTCGTGCACTAGTGAACCTCAAAGGAAAACACCATCACTTCTATCACTTCCAGATAAAATTTGCTTGCTGTTTCTCGAGTTCCCGTTAAGAAAGTGTTTTCATGATGGCATGAAGGAAAAGCGTTACGATTTCGGAAAGCCGGAATGCACACCTGTCGAACGTTTGGGAATAAAACTGAATCACACCCCAATTAACAACGAAGGTGGTCAACGGTAAAGTAGTTCGTAATACATCAGAAATCAATAACAGATTTTAGAACGATTTTTATAGATAACATTTTCCTGAGTGATCGTGATTGCACGAGATAGATAAAAAGAATTATTCAGATAATAATTATTCGGAATTCAACCACAACGTTGCTGAGATATTTGCAAAACTCTGGACCGCAGGTGTCTATGGTGGGGAACGAACGCGCTATTGTCCTTTCCGGGGAGTAACGCGTTCACCACCACACCATGCGGGTCCTTTGTTTCGCACGTCTCTCAGCTATTTCTATCGATCTTTTTGCCACAGCAATCACCCGTCAGCGGGGTTGATCTGGGGAGCGCAAATCGGCATAGAACCCAGTTAAGCTATGGCTGTAAATATCTCAGCAACGTTGTGGTTGTATTTCGCTTACTTAGTAACCTGCCATGAAAATTATAGAAGGCAGAAAACAAAACGTTAAACATTGTGATTTCAACTACAGCCATAGCTTAACTGGGTTCTATGCCGATTTGCGCTCCCCAGATCAACCCCGCTGACGGGTGATTGCTGTGGCAAAAAGATCGATAGAAATAGCTGAGAGACGTGCGAAACAAAGGACCCGCATGGTGTGGTGGTGAACGCGTTACTCCCCGGAAAGGACAATAGCGCGTTCGTTCCCCACCATAGACACCTGCGGTCCAGAGTTTTGCAAATATCTCAGCAACGTTGTGGTTGTATTTCGCTTACTTAGTAACCTGCCATGAAAATTATAGAAGGCAGAAAACAAAACGTTAAACATTGTGATTTCAACTACAGCCATAGCTTAACTGGGTTCTATGCCGATTTGCGCTCCCCAGATCAACCCCGCTGACGGGTGATTGCTGTGGCAAAAAGATCGATAGAAATAGCTGAGAGACGTGCGAAACAAAGGACCCGCATGGTGTGGTGGTGNCACCACCACACCATGCGGGTCCTTTGTTTCGCACGTCTCTCAGCTATTTCTATCGATCTTTTTGCCACAGCAATCACCCGTCAGCGGGGTTGATCTGGGGAGCGCAAATCGGCATAGAACCCAGTTAAGCTATGGCTGTAGTTGAAATCACAATGTTTAACGTTTTGTTTTCTGCCTTCTATAATTTTCATGGCAGGTTACTAAGTAAGCGAAATACAACCACAACGTTGCTGAGATATTTGCAAAACTCTGGACCGCAGGTGTCTATGGTGGGGAACGAACGCGCTATTGTCCTTTCCGGGGAGTAACGCGTTCACCACCACACCATGCGGGTCCTTTGTTTCGCACGTCTCTCAGCTATTTCTATCGATCTTTTTGCCACAGCAATCACCCGTCAGCGGGGTTGATCTGGGGAGCGCAAATCGGCATAGAACCCAGTTAAGCTATGGCTGTAAATATCTCAGCAACGTTGTGGTTGTATTTCGCTTACTTAGTAACCTGCCATGAAAATTATAGAAGGCAGAAAACAAAACGTTAAACATTCGGAATTCAGTTAAAAATTATTCAGATATTATTCTTCCACGTTATTGTCTATTTCAGAGCAGATACTTCGAGCATGCGAGAGGTGTCCACAGACGTTCGTACTCGCTTAGTGGGTCATCGTAGTCCTTCGAGCCAAATCCTTTTGATGGGAGCCCCGCACGAAATGAAGTAACCTCAATCCACGATGTCCTGCACAGAACGGTTCCTGGTGTACTTGTACCTATAGTTGTTGATAAACAATTAAAAACCCACGGTGCGAAGACGAACGGACGACTAGGACAATCGACTCAAATCATCTGCTCTGAAGAGGGCGGAGGCCCAGAAACGCTAGCCGAGAAATTTTCTATCAACCTCGTGTTACCACAGTGATTCGAGAAAATATGATCAACTAGTTCTGCCTAGATTAAGGCAAAGTATACTAGCTGTTAGTCATGATTTGTGGTTGTTGGCTTTGGAAAATCCGTGGGTTCCTAAAGATCATAATCAATAAAAACGAATAAATTCCCAATAGTAACAAAGGCAATAAGTTTGGCTTTCAAATTTTTAAACAATCTATCGCGATCTTGATAGCGCATGTGGCGCAGTGGTCGGGAGCGCCCTCCAATACACATAGGATCGATTTCCGTTTCTCTGCCTCGCCAAGCCTTCCATCCCTCCGGGGTCGGCAGATTAGTAGCAGACTTCTCTGGGAGGATAGAAGCACAGACTCGATACATCGGAAGGCCACTGTGAGTCACTGCAAAGGCCAGATATACATTCAGACACCTCCAAACGGTGCTCAATGAAGTCGAATGCATGGCGCATCCCTCAGGGATTGATCAACGCCGAGAGCATAATCCTTCATCCTTTATGCCATTTAACAATTAAAGTTAAAACATAAATTTAAACTGCTTCTTGAATTCGACTAGATACCATCAAAAAGGGTAGGGACATTACAGGTAAGCAAGCAATGAGAAGAAAACGATTCAAACGTCCACACTGGATTTCTGAGCTTTAAGATATGCTCCTTTGCTGTTCACGAACTTTCTTCGTTCATTTAGTGCAGTTTAAGTAGACTATGAAAGAAGAAAAAAATGTTGACAGAAAAGTTTATAAAACTAACGTCAGCTTGTAATACTTCATAGTCCCACTTTGAATTCAGTTTGTGATACATCGCAGACATTTCAGGGAAACGAACTGTTTCCGGATTCACCAAATTTACTATTCCGGTTTCTCTGAATGTACACAAATCTATGAGCTTTTAATACCACAGAATGGGTTGTTTTTTGAATTCCGACCATATCACTCTAAGCTTTCTATAAGTTTCTGAGCTATGACTGTAGTTATAATGGTTAACATCACTTACTTGCTTGGATACTTGGAGAACCGGTTTTCACTAGTTGTGTTGTCCTCAGCATAATTTCCATTTTCCGAAAATTTCCTGGTTTAGCCATTGTGGTTTTCTGGAGTCTCGAGGACAGTCTGACCAAAGTCTGCCCGAAGACGTCACCACCATGGGTAGTCGACACCTTTGTGGATTAAAGAGGGATTTACCACCATGCGACTAGCTTGATACCAGGACGGTGGTGGATCTTGGTATTGGTTTACTCTTAGCTGGGCTTCCTGATTGAAACGCTGGCCTCCTTCTCACCTGGGAAACTCTGCCAGAGGATGAACCACCACACTGCACCTCGCAGCCCGACACCCAGTAACATCTCCCAGCCATGATGAGGCGGTAAACCGTTGAAAAGATTAGTTAATATTAGTAATGAAAATTGGTTATGAGATCAGTTTAAAGATTTATTAAAACATGCTAGTCGTCACCGTTTGCGAACCAAATCGAGAAGCACCGGTAAGCAGTCAGGCAGAATAGTGATTGAGTTCGGTATGTCAAGCACTTTCTTGAACGTCATCAGCTAAAGCAAACATAGGCAGATGGAGAAGAAATTAGTAAGCATCCATATAGCATTTTTGAAACACTACTTTTGTGACGCACTTTTGCAACAAGATTCCGAGTATCGGCTTTGTAATTCACGGGCAGTCGAATACGACACTGTAAAGTGTTAGGGAAGTGTCGAAGAAGACGATCAGTAAATCCTTTCACTACAGAATAAGAGTTGCCGATGAAATTTCCGATGTCATCTTCCTGGTAAATTTACTAATAATAGGAGGAAAATTTTGCTAATGGTGCAAGAATACATTGCAAAACAGAAGACTTTTGAAGATTTCGCCTCGGAACAAGTTTCTTTCGATCTTAACCTTTTTATTTATTGCCTATTCTTTTTAATGGCAGGGTAGGTTGCGAAACATAACTTTCATAACGCTGAGATATTTGCAAAACTCCGGACTGCAGGTGTCTGCGGTGGGAAACGAACACGCGCTGTTGTCCTTTCCGGGGAGTAACGCGCTCACCACCACACTATGCGATTCCTTCGTTTCGCCTGCCTCTCAGCTAGTTCCTTTTTTTCCTAAGTTTTTTTGGTTAGAAAAAGGCAGCTGACACTGGTGCAAGGGCAGAGGCTTGGATACTCAAGCTTGCTTCCGAATGAAATTTTAAACAGACAAGTTATTCGTATGAAATGCTAAGATATTTGCAAAACTCCGGACCGCAGGTGTATGCAGTGGGGAACGAACACGCGCTGTTGTCCTTACCGGGGAGCAGCGCACTTCACCACCACACCATCCGGGTCCTTCGTCTTACCTGTCTCTCAGCTAGTCTCAGCATTTCATACGAGTTATATTTCGCAACATACCCTGCTGTTAAGAAGAAAAAGGCAGTAAATAAAAAGGGTTAAGATTGTGATTATAACTAAGCCTCAGTTTAATTGAGTTCAATGCCGATTTGGGCTCCCCAGATCAATCCCGTTGATGGGTGATTGCTGATGGCAAAATGATGGATAGAACTAGCTGAGAGACAGGCAAGACGAAGGACCCGGATGGTGTGGTGATGAAGTGCGCTGCTCCCCGATAAGGACAACAGCGCGTGTTCATTCCCCACTGCATACACCTGTGGTCCGGAGTCTTGCAAATATCTCAGCATTTCAGACGAGTTGTTTTAAAAAATTCTTACCAATATTCTAATCGACACTGCTTAAAATTCATATAAATCATAATAGCCACCTTGTAGCCGGGACCAGCAATCGGATGTTCATCGTCGTACTTAAATAAACAGCCAGTACCAAGGTAGGTGAAGTGTAATTTGGTTTTCTCGCAAAGACTGGCAAGAAGCCACGGGGCGTAGAGATTGTCACGGATATTTATTTTCAACTTAGAAGCACCTCCTTCAAGGTAGTCAATAGAATTGGTATCTGAAAATGCCACATAATCACCTATATGTGTTCTTTACATTGCGACATTGATTTCTCCATTTGCGAGCAACAACGAAGTGTTAAACTCTCTTGCAGGTGAGCAGGCTTGAGTGTTCAGTCAAGGTGAGCTTACCTACCTCCACCATGTGTCCGTGCAATCATCGATATGACATGACTTGGTGCTACATGCACAATCTCGTCCTTGACGATGTCATCGAAATCTGTTCCGGGTCGAGTTTTCGCCTCCACAAAGTTCACACCTTCTCTTCTCAACAACTCTACAAATTGTTGCCCAATCCAACCTTTGGATCCATAAAGTAGAATTTTAAAGGTGGATTGCTTCACTGGCAACGTGTCGTTATACACAGATGTTCTCAGAGCTAAAAATTCTTGTTCTGCCTTACATGTTTGTTCTAAAAAAAGTGATAACGAAAAACTGGATTTAATCCAAACTTACCGGCACGCAGATCGTCCTTAGCTTCATAATGGAGCGCTTTTGATGCTTTTTGACAGTTAAATTTTGATGGCTGACCATTAAGTTCGAGTTTGCATCCATTCAGTAACTGAAAATAGCAGTTAAATGTACAAAATATATATGTAAAATATATATGTAAAATGTGAAAAAATATGAAAATATGTAGAGAAGAACCTGAAAACTGTCTTGTATTTCTTGTAGTGCTTATAAAACATCCAATAGGCGTGTGCAGAACGAATCTAACGATTCTGGATAAGGAAAACAACGAAGAGATTAAGGATAAAGCCTTCGTCGCTGTTCTACCCCTTAAGGACATGCCATACTGCCACGAATTCAGTAACCATGCTAGAGATGAGTTGACTGTATAATAAAAACATGGCCACTCACTAGGAAACAAAAAAATTGCACTTATTTGGATAACAGAAAGATTATGGGCATCTGAAATACTAGCAAGTCAGTGTTTTTATCCTCTTATATCAGTTGCTAAACTCCTGATTCTGTAGGAGTGGGAGGACTTGTCCAGCTCAGAATGCGAAATCGAACTAAAAGACTGCGTGCATTGCAGATAACCCCTAGCCGCTGCGCGACAAAAACCCTGGTTTAGCAGCTATTCCCGGAATAGTTTCTATTTCTTTCTATATCTACTTCTATCTTCTTATTACTGTATGTTTCTGTACTAAGGATCATATCCACTGTTTCTCAAGTTGCCTAGGAAATGTCGTAGTGCGTAAATATTTTGATCCCATCCTAAGGAACTTCGATCGCTATAAATAATCTTGTTAAGCAAGCCTATTTTTGCAATCTCAGTTTGTTGTTTGTTGCTACCGTTTAAAAGTCATCATGCGTACAATAACAAGAAGGGCATGAGGATGTTTGCGAGAGCAGTCTTCCGCCAGATGATATATGGTTTTGAGAGGATATGGAGACGGTAGCCGACGAATGTTTTCGGTAAAGATGCTGGGCCTGTGCCAAATACCGCCTTCTCCAGAAGCATATAAATAGCCTCTTCGATTGCTGCCCTGATTCGCCCCATTCAGGATTAGTCCGCTTTTTAGATCCTTACTGTATTGATTTCGTGTGTCACCAATGTAGATTACCGTAGTTGTTAAGTCGTACTGCACGTAGTCATTATTGTACATTAACTTCATCATATCATTATTAAATGACAGTTGCGAATTGTACATTAATTTAGCATCACCGTCACTACATCATGCTTTCCATTAGCCCAGTGTATCCTCATCATCGCCATCCTGATCCTGATCCTCATCCTCGTGTCATTGTCCGTTGTTTACCAATTGGTCTGCGGTGCGTTGTCAGTAGCGGCGGCTAACCTCAAATGCGTTCTGTCTGCAACGCCATCGGTGGCATGTACCATTCCTCCCACAATGTACGCCATGTTTACAAGGCCGCTGAGCGGCCAGCTTATGCTATGTATTTTTTAAGCCGCTATAGGCTTATCAATTGCAGTTATTATCATTCTGGCTCTTGACTCTTAGGCAATGGTGGCATCCATCGATGCTCAAACTTCACGTTGTAGACATATCGTTGTCCAAAACCAGCCGCCTATCCGTGTTCCGCAGATGACTCATCTCATTCGTAGTCACTTGCACCATTAATCCTAAGGTAACTTGCTATCGTCATCGATTAATGTGGAAGTACACCCAACCGGTGTAGATATGGTTCTAAGCACAACCAAATGCATGGCTCGTCTGTATCCCACTATTCTGTTTTCTAGCTCTCGGCAGCTGGGCTGCTGTACGCGCCAGTGCGGGCGCCATCATCTGTATCCCCTTACTCATCATTGTTATCAATTTGCTGTTATCATAGTATTAATGTTGTAATAGTATTGTTTACAATACTCTTATGCTTTCGTAAGTCTCACTTTATATTTGTTGAGCAAACGCGAGGTGTTACTATTCTTTGTTCACGATTAAACTGAAGAAGGCGAATTTCGCCTTCTTCAGAGCCGCTTTCTATAAGGTTTCCACTAAGTATGTCACGTAGAGACCACATATACACATTATACTTCCACGTGATTTCTGTGCGGTTGGTCTCTACGTGACATACTTAGTGGAAACCTTATAGAAAGCGGCTCTGAAGAAGGCGAANGTGAACAAAGAATAGTAACACCTCGCGTTTGCTCAACAAAAATACGAAGAAAATCACTTGATCAATGCCGAGGTTAATAGAAAGTCGGTCGTGGCAGTCTCACTTTAGTAGTAAGTACCACCACCTCATAGCCTTGAACTTGCCTTATTTTGTGCCAGTAGTTCTCCGTCGATATTAGTGTTGTGCTGGTGTTGCATCTATGTATATAAACGGTTTAATTACCAAAGTTTGAAGTATTGCCTTGTGGCAACTACGAAAAGTCCCGCGTGGCGTCTTTTCACGAAGTCGAGCATTCTGTTTAAAGCTAGTGGCTATTCACTGCCGAAAACTGACTCGAAGGCCTAGTCCCACTAGCAACTGCATTACCTGGCGTGTCCTTAGTGAAAACATGGACTAATAGGCAATTTTTCTGAGGTCATCCCAAGTAGTAAGAGAGTGCAATGCTTCTTCAGTGCGCTCACCACATGCCATTGGTGAAAGCGCAGCTCTACATTCTGCAAAGTAGAGCTAGTTTCTCATGAACTCAAATTGGTCAATGCAATAAGGCAGCACTTGACATGTCACTATTTTCTCAGCACGAAAATTTTTGACTAGATTTTCGTTCTGTGAGTAAAATCGTTACATAAATGCTGCTAAACAGTTATTAATAGAATAACTTGACCGAAGTGTTGATTTTCGTGATTAGATGGCCACGGGTCAGTGGATTCTGCGGTGGTGGATAGGGAGACTAACGCAGGACTAGTGACTTAACAGGCAAAAGATTGTGTGGTACTTAAGTAAGCAATCTTTTCATGGCACCTGCTTGATTTCCAGCACAGGATAATCATATGCGCCACCAATATTCAACACTTCACCGTTTTCAGCTCGGCCAACGACCGCTAATATTGCACTCGCGGAATCTTTGAGAGTGATGAGGTTCACTGAAAAAAATTAAACATAAAAACAATTAATTCTTCAGTGGGTTTTTAAAAAACACTATATGGGAAAAAACGAGGTGTAAGCGAAAGAAAAGAGTGATGTGCAGTTTCTCACAGTGGGTAGACGTGTATTAGAATACACGCATAGTTGTTGGTTAAAAACCGCGTCGCTGGTTAAGCAAGAGTCGGGGCGATCGAATTGTTATTTCTAGACTAGCCTGGGAAGATAGAAAGTTTGATAAATAGGCGATTGCAGGTCAATCTCCTGGTCAGATATACATTCAGTGGCCTCTAAGAACCCATCACGAAATCGGGTATATGGCGTATTCCTAAATGTTTGGTCAACGCTGAACAACTTATCCTTTACTTCTTTGTGTAACTTCAGTTCATGTTATCACGGTCGTGGTCTCTCCCTTGTGGGTTCTACCGTAACAACCTTGCTCAAAATCACACAGCACCAGATTCCCAATCATTCGAGAAACCAATAATGGTAATAGAACGGACAATGTCGATCATTTTTAAGCAAATTAACATTTGTATCATAATATACAGGTCGAACTTCCTTGACTTTAGCTGTAAAACTTACTGAATTCAACGCCTTCGAGCCTTTGACTAAGGTTTCCATCGATAACACCAAGGCTTAATCGTGCTATAGCCAGTGGTAGCTTGTAGGAGACGACGTACGAGTGCAATAGCGCTTCGCATGACATGAGAGCAGCACCTCGCCAACTAGTTGGTGCCAATGGTTCTGATTCCACACATTCGGAGACACCATAAACCTAAAATCTCGGAAAAACCCAAGTTTTCCCACGACTCGGTTTTTTTAGGCTGAGTGAAAAAATAGGTCTAGACGATTAAAAAAGCATGAAAAATGGAAATTTTTTGAACTGATCAGAATTTTCGGCATATTCTGTCTTAGTAGGGAGCAAACCTCCCAACCGTTTACCTCTTCGCCGTAGCTGGGAGGTGTTCCTGGGTGTCGGACCACGATGCACAGCGAGGAATTCATTCCCTGGTAGGGTCTCCCAAGCTGTGAAGGAGTCCCGCGTTTCCATCAGAAAGCCTAGCTAAGAGTAAACCAATAACAGGATCCACCACATCCTGGTATCGAAGTCGCATGGTGGCAAATCTTTCTCTGATCCACAAGAGCTGCGACTGCATGTGGTGATGAAGACCTGGGACAGACTTTGGCCAGGATGACCTCGGGATCCCAGGGAATCAAAATGGCTTAACCAGCAAGCCTGCGAAAAACGGAGGTTATACTGGGGCCCCCACAGCCAGTGAGGATGGGCCATTCAAGTGTCAAGTATCAAGTAAGTTGGGAGCATAGCGTGGTGCAACGACGAGCCATTTTTCTGCGAGCGTTGAACAGTTCGGCCACTAAACCAACCTATTCCAGATCTACACAAACATCTTTATTAGTCATTTGGTAGCCCAGAAGAGAAACTTCGGATTCTCTGTGGACTGGATGAAAAAGTCTTTCGACCATCAGACAGGACTACTTGGAAAGCTGGCGGAACCCTTTTAACAAGATGTTTGACACATTGTTCTAAATCCTTACAACTTTTTTCTGCAAAAAATCGGTTGAGTAAAAAATAATAATAAGGTCTTAAAAAACAAACCTTGTATATTGCAATCCCGTTAATCAACAAGTAATTCGAACCGGAAATAATAACCTTTATTCTCTTCGGCTAAGCGTCCAACTTTCTTAGGGGGTGCAGTCCTTCGAGATACACAAGCACCACTACAGCTTTGTTGTGGAGGCATTTAGCTCTACTTTTTACTATTTGGTGGAGAGATAGGACAATCCTTGATACCTTGCCGGATTTTGCCGTGCGGCACATTTACTCCCCACTGACCGCTGTTCAGATAGAAGTGATGATCTGGTTCTAAGCTTGGGTAAACTTTCCAAACAAGTACATGAACATACATTGTACATCATAGACACCGCCTAGCTATTATGGAACTGCTAACTAAAAATTCTTAAAAAAATTTTAAAGAACTAACGGACAAAGCGTTTGTCGTTGATCAATCCCGTAGGGATATGCCGTGTATCCGATTCCATTCATACCACCATATGGGTGATTTGATGCATATTTGATTTATACAGTGACTCACAGTGGATTGTCGATGCACCACTTCAGCAATTCCATAAAAGTCTGTTATGAACTCGCCATCGCCTCAAGAAATGTAGGCTTGATTAGCTCCCAGCACGGGATATCAAGCCGAAAACTATGTGCTCCGCAGATCACCTCTAATTAGTGCGATATATGCACCTCAACCCAAAAAATGCGAACAAAAATAAACTTTTATTCACTACCTATTATTTTTTCGTGGCAGCGTCTTATGTGAAGATGGGTAGTCGCAGGTTAGAATCTGGGATTCCGAGCTTCACTCAAATCTCGGCACCATTGTGGTTGCACTTCGAAAAATAAACTATTGGATTCAAATTAGCAATTCTAAGCTCTTAAACGGAACGCACATCGATTTATTCATACATAGTTGTGCGTGAAGACTTTTCTGTAACGACCCCAGCAACAATGGAGCCGCAATGGGCTATGCCTAGTATTCAGCCTCTATAGACTTGGCACTTTTTATAGGATGTCTTCCATTTTTTCCTGTTTCCTTTTTGGCTATACTACAACCATATGAGCGCGTGTGGCGCAGTGGTCGGAGGCGCTGTGCAACGTGCACGTGGAACCAACCTCCACGCCCATGGCCCACCAAGCTTTCCATCCCTCCGGAATCGGCAAATTGGGGCCAGACTTGTCTGGGAGGATAGCAGCGTTGGCTCGACACATCGGTAAACCACCACGAGTCATTGTAAAGGCCAGACATGCATTCAATCACCTCCAAACGGTGCTTGGAGAAGTCGAATGCATGGCGCATCTCTCAAGGATTGATCAACGCCGAGAGCTTTACCTTTTATCCTTTTATGGACTTGTTGCTTTTTTCGACGATAAACAACAATTTTTCAACTAGAAAATTTGATAGGTTGCGGACTCTACAGGATTGCAGAAGAGACTCCGCTCTATCGTTCCACGGCTGCAGTTGCCAACTACGACGCTATTTACTATATTTTACTATGGGCCACCACATGAATACATTGCTGTCAGTATTTGGAAGCCTTCTTTTGGAACTTAAGCGTCCGCCTCCGTATTTCTCACACCTACACAGTATATACGATAACTATGTATCACTATGTTAAGCAGCCTTGAAATAGTAGTCCTTTGTTACTCAAATTTCTAACCATTAAACCAATCTAAAGACGGTCTTTTGCATCTGCAAGAGCTATCGATTGATTACAAGAAGTGTAGGAAAATAGTTCTAGCGAGACGGTTGGCCCAGATTTGTGAAGCCGATTTTAGTCTTCGGTCCATTCCGATCTCGAAGTGAACTCACACTTTGACAGCTGACAAGCACATAACGTTGAATTTGGCCGTATTCCCTGACGGCGTCCAGCACGTGCGTCAATCCATGCATCACGTTACGTGCACCGCTGATCGGCGATCGATCGATAGCGCTACTGGCTCGAGAAGCACAATCGATAATCACATTGATCTAAAATCGATATTGTCACACAGATGACTCGATCAGTAGGCGGTCAAAAGAAGGCGTTACAATTCAATTTAACCAATGATAATCCGAAGAAAATCTCAGTAGGTAGAAAAATAAAGAAACTCTGAAACGGAGATGGGAAAACTCGTACAGAGTTCTCGCTGAGGATTCGTAGGACGAGCTGTTGATTTCGAACATCGCCGACTATGAGTTTGAAGCGATCAGATTCACGGATATCCTGAGGAATCTGCAAGAAATCTTACGATCGTTGCCGATTTAAATAGGATTATTTGGATATAACTTGGATTACTAGGACAAGAAAGATAGTTTCATATTGAGAGTTGATTACAACCATAAAATTTTTTGCTCATGGAGATAAAGTCTTCATGGACTATGCTCGCACAAATGGCGCAAAATATCCAGGATCAAAGAAGTTCGAAGGTCGTAATTTTTCTGTTTTACATTTGCTTTCGAGGAATCTCACCCAATTAACATAATATTGGTTGTGCACCGCTCGTAAAGTTCTTTTAAAAAAAGCTTTCAGCTGAATCGAGCTCTCCGAGTTCTGCGTTCATTCTGGGATAAAAAGTAGAGAAAAAAAGAGTAAGAAAAAGAATCATACCAAAAGTAAGATAAGATTTTTCAAACAAAAAATTTTTTTTCTTTGTAGCTTTAGCCGATTGAGTTAATCACTTCTTTTTGTCATTCTAAGCAAATTTCTAGAGAAGTGATCCGCTTTTGGCATCTATTTGCAAGGAAGACGTAAGAAATGATGAAAAAATGACTGCTTAACGCAACATAAGGCAATAAAGTACTATGAAAATAGTGAAAAGCAAAAGATAAAGCGTTCGAGGCTAATCAATTCCTGTGGAATTCACGCATTCGAACCGATTCGTAGGATCGTAGAGGTAATTGAGTGCAAATCTAACCAACATGAAGTGTTGCAATGACTTACCGATATATCAAGTCACCGCTTTTGCAAAGAAATTAGATGTACTCGAGCCGGTGTTATTATCCTCCTAGACAAATATGCTACCATTTTACCGACCCCGGAAGGAAAGACGGCCATAGTGGGCGTGGGATGCGAGATCGAGCGAATGACAGACTGTGTATTCTGGGGTACAGCCAACATACTATGATGATCAATTATCGTGACTGTTATACTCCAACTACTTTCGTCTTTTTTAAAATTATTCAAGAAACCGCAAAACAAAACACTAAGAGCAAAACAAAGGCCTCGGTTGGCGCAGCAAATAACACGTATGCCTCCGAAAAGAGTTCGCGAGTTCGAAGCGAGTTTGACTGAGTGTCTGAGTTTCGGCCAAGTCTCAGTTTCCTTGCGGTTGCATTTCACGTAGTACCCTGCCATTTAAAAAGAACAGACAGTAAATAAAAGTTAAAACATTGAGACATTTTCTTTCAACTTCGTGTTACCTCGGTATTCAAAAAAGGTACAACATTGCGAGCATGCCAAGTATTACAAAAACAGTATTGATCAAAAATAACTCCGTTCGGAGGATCGTTCAACTGCACGAAAGAAGAACCACTGACAAGTTCATACGAATATTATGATCACAAACCTCTAGGATATCCTTCGGCGAGCTCAGATTATCCATTACCGTAATCCGGCAATCGGAGTTGCTTTGCAGTAAGCGGTTGATCAGTGCCGAACCGAGCCGTCCAAGTCCACCACTGATCAGAATGGACGTCATCACTCTGAAATTCGTCTTCGTTCATGATGTTCAGCATCGCTAACCTACCAATGGTGATGTTTTCACCATTTTCTAAATGTTCTCTCTTTCTTTTTATTCTCACTACTCTTTACTAATGACTTACTCAATCATTCTCCTTTGTAAAGCTTTCTAAACTGAAATAACAGTTAATAACAGAAACAGAAATAATAACAATAAGGCTCTGAAGAAGGCGAAATCCGCCGAAACGTCAGCTTATACGTAAATAAAGCAATTAAGTAACACCCCGTGTTTGCTGAACAGAAGTAGAAAGTGTTATTCAATCAATACCGAGGTTAATAGAAAGTCGGACTTGGGAGTTGAAATAACAGTATTCGAATGAATTGAAAAAGCAAATTAAAGGCAAAATGAGGACAAGGTGTGGCCAATAATGACAGCGTAACTGAATTAGGCACAAATCTGTAGTTATTATTATTATTATTCACTTGTATGGTGCAGTGGTCGGAGACGCTCCGCGATAAGCATATAGGATCGATCTCCGCGCCCATGGCTCACCAAGCCCTCCATCCCTCCGGCGTCGGCAAACTGGTACCAGACTTGTCTGGAAGGATAGCAGCACTCGTCCTATACATAGCTGGGCAACCGTGACTCATTGTACAGGCCAGATAAGCATTCAATCACCTCCAACGATGCTTAATGAAGTCGAATGCATGGTGAATTCCTCAGGGATTGACCAACGCAGAGGGTTTTATCCTTTTAATTATTTAGAACGGGGTCAAATCAAATCATTCACATCACCCTTGGTCAAATTATTATTTACAACACTATCATGCAGTTTTCATTCGTTGCTGCTAGTGTCGTTGTCTTTTTTACTGTTGTTATTAATGGCACTGTTATTATTATTATTGTTATTATTATTATCATTATTATTATTATTGGTATCATAATTAATAATATTGTGCAATGAGATTTCTACTAATGCGTTGTAAAAAGAATTTAGATAGAATTATACTAATATTAATACAACATTAAAAGAATAAGCTAATATTTGAAAATAGAATAAATTGAATCATCAAAATTTTGTTGGAAGCTGAAAAACGAAGCAAAAATAAAGCCTGGTGACGGTGGAAGGAAAGCGCATAGGCGGGTGAGGGTTGCGGAGAGCGCCGATATGAACGCGAACAGGTGAAGGTCAGTGGTGTAGGCGATCGCCAACAGGTTCGGGACCATCTGATTGGAGTCATTCGCCTGGTTTCCATTTTTACTTGACAGTAATGATCTAATAATAAAAAATATAAGGCTAAATAACAATGTAACAGGCGGTACTAATGTGCTGTATTTCGCTGAGGGTGGCCACGGATCTTCATCAAAAGCTGGTACTACACCTGCCTAGAAGAAGCTTCCTCTGATTGGTGGTGGTAGGTGTGTGAAAGTGGTAAAGACATGGGGCAGCGCTCGAATAGTTCTTTCTGGTTCACAGCAAAGATCGACTTCACTTGCACTCAGACATTCACGAAGAAGACAGAATTTTAAAGTACCAGTCAAAACCAAGTGAAAGTTTAACTATCATCGTAGACGATAAATGGCTACGAACAAATGGAATGAAAGAAATGCTAGGATGCTTGCGATACTTGAATATGGAGCATGCAAATCCACAACAATCCAGTAAATGAGGCTGACTGTATCGAGGACCAAGAGCATGTTTGCGGGATACCAACCTCCACTACTTGCTCGAAAACAAGATATCGAAATATTCAAATAGTAAATAATCAAACTATTAAAATGAATGACTGCTGATAGCACTACCAGAGCAAAATCTGACAGAGCGAAAGGCAAAACAAGGGCATCGGTTGGTTTACGGGGTTATATGTGAGCCACATGAAAGGGCAATTGCTGGTTTGAAGCCTGAGGCTCTTAGGCACGTAACACCCCGCCGTGAAAAAACAACAACAACAAGAACAACAACGACAACAACAACAAGGGTGACAACAACGGCAGTAACAACAGAAATAGCAAGAACAAAGATAACGACAACGGTGGCGAAAATCAGTAACAACACCACTTGTTCTTCCAGGATTTAATCAGACGTCCAATAAAACGGAACAGAAACCAAAACCTACTAGTTGAATAGATTCGTTTTAAAAGTGAGATAGGCTTAGAATGTTATTCGCTTTTTCTTCAAAAATTGTCGTTGCCTTTTTCCTGCCATGACGGCGATTTTCGCTAAATCTGTTAATTCGATTCGGTCAGGTCGTAGTGAGATGACGAATAAGCGACTATTAAGCGTTCATTAGTTGAACAATCGACAAGTATACTACAGTTACAGAACATTCCCAATAATAAATGCATAGCGACGACATTGTTTATAATTTATCCGACCGAACAAAAACATGACGTTAGTCGACGATGACGACCACGCCAAAAGAGAGCATGTCCTTTGTTGGTAGGTGATCGTCACCACACAAGAGAAGACTTCATCATTCACCGGATGTGAACGAACAACATTTCCTCCTGATCTTCAGGCCCATTCAGAGCATTTCAATGTTTTGGCATTCATTCTTCATGTTTTTTTTTTCGTTTTTTCTTATTGAAAGGTAAAACTGTTCACTCCCTTTACCTTCAATAACTTCCGTCTGTTCTTTTCCTCCATCATCGAGAACATAGTTGTTGTTAATTTGCACATGGCGGACGTCTACTGACAGCATAAACGGTTAAGCGTTCGATGTTGATCAATCCCTTAAAATAGCACCATGCATTCGATTGTCCTCTCATCAGCGTACTTACTTAGGTAGCCTGTCTTCACTGCTTTTGTGAGCTCCAGCATAATTTCCATTCGTTTCTCTTTCGCGCAATCCTCGTCCATGGTGGCGGTCTGCTTCGAACATGTTGACTCCGCGAGGACAATTCGGTAGTCCGTATCACAGTAAATACAATTTATTGAGTAATTGTCCTATGAAAGAACTCTTGTGAGACCATTGGTGTACAGGCTTTTTTATCCTCTGACACAACCTCCTTCCCAATAGCACTCCGGAGTGATAGAAGGCTTGGAAAGCCCGGAACGCGAGAACAAACCACCGATCATCCCGGTACGAATTGCAGGGATTCCTTAACCACTGCGTTACGACGATCACATACATCGATACAGAGAAGAGAGAGTTTTGCCAATATTTCGTCAAAGCAAAACGTGGGTGACTGACTTCAGGGGTTAAATACAAATTCTGTTATCTTAGAACCGACTTTCAAAATATAATTTTTTCTTTTTGTCTCTCGATAATCATCATTCATGTATTCCTTGTCGTCAATAATAAGTCACACAAATGTTAACTCTTTTATTTACTGCCTTTTTCTTCTTAATGGCAGGGTATGTTGTGAAATATAACTCGTATGAAGTGCTGAGATATCTGCAAAACTCCGGACCACAGGTGTATGCAGTGGAGAACGAACACGCGCTGTTGTCCTTACCGGTAAGGACAACAGCGCGTGTTCGTTCTCCACTGCATACACCTGTGGTCCGGAGTTTTGCAGATATCTCAGCACTTCATACGAGTTATATTTCACAACATACCCTGCCATTAAGAAGAAAAAGGCAGTAAATA